GCGTATGCACACAAGCACACACAAATATACACACACATCTGTACATGCTTTGACATATATACACACAGAGATCTGTCTACATAAGGATGGGCGACGTGGGCTGCAGAACCCCAGCTCCCAATTTTGGAAATGAGAATTGTTTTTAAAAATCTGGGAGAACGTGGCATGGTGCTTGCTAGTTGTTGTGGGAACAGTTTTTCTCTGTTTGTTGCTTTGGCACCCCGCCCCCCCGCTCTTCAGAACATCACTTTTTAATTTTGGGGGAAAATTTATTAGCCACTAGAGGGCGCAGCAGTTTTTTCCCATTTTTAAAAAAGTCCACACTTTTTTAAAAGAATTTTTTTTAGCAAGTGTTCATCGGGGAGATGTGTCCCTCCACAGCCGAGGGATGGGGTGTGGGTAGCCCACGGACTGCTGAAGGTTGCCTCTTCCAAAATACACACATATTTTCACAGCAGCCAACTCCTGGTGGAGCAGACCAGCAGGATTACACCATGCTTATAAACAAGCTGCTGGATCACTTGGGGGGGGGGTTTAAGAATCTGGCTGTGGACCCAGAAGTTGGGAGTTCGATTCCCCACTGTACCTCTTTGATCGGGACTGGTCTTGATGATCCATACTGTTATTTTCCAGCTCCGCAGTTCTAAGATGATGATGGTCGTTAGCTAACAAAGCTGGCCTTTTTCAGCAGATTTTATTTTCGTCCTTGAGGGAGCATCCCCTAAAAAAAAAAAGATTTGCCAGCTTCTCTATATTTTCCTCCTGCACGGAAGCTCCAGAGTTTGGCTGTTCACGACCCAGTGTTAAGGAATATTTTGAATTTTGCTATCCTGCGTTCTCAGGATTTAAAGAAAAGAAAGTACTAAAGTGTCTGACGTGCAAAGTGTGTGGTATGACATTCAAGGCATCAAGGCAAAAGCTAGGGAAAAACGTATAAAGTTCGGGTATCGGTGTCTTGCAGAATAGATTATGTATTGACGAGTCGCTGTGTTTTGGCTGGCCCGAGGTCGGTCGCCTAAGCGTGCCCGAGAACTGGGCTTGTCACCGTTATTCTTTTTTTCTAAACGCTCTCCGTCTCGGTCTCCCCTTGGCCGATCCCTCCCCGCGGCTCCAAAATTTGGTGGTGTCAGTTCCCCCAGCTGCCAAGGGAGGGGACGTTGCAAACTCTGCGGCTTCCGTGCGCGTGGGATCCAGGTGACTGGGGCCGCGCGGGCCTTACCGGTGACGTGTTGGGTGTTCTGGGCCGCCGGGGAGGGAATGGCCGGGCGGCGGCTGGCTGCCGTCCAGCTGACCTGCCTGCCACCTTGCAGCAGGAAAACACATGCTTGCGGGCAGGGCCGCCTCCCCTCCGCTTTCCAGCCGACGGGGATTTTTGGAGGGCCCTCGTCTTGTTTGTGAGCCGTTGCTCGGCGCGCCACCGGGCTGGGAGAGCCAGCGATGAGGGAAGCACAATCCTCCACCATATTTGGGAGCCGGGCGTCCCAAATTTACCGGATGCGGGCCTTGGAGCATGTAAGGGTGGGACGCTTCCTTCCTGCCCCTGCTGATAACGGCATACCTAGGAATCCGGCGAGCCGCGGTCGGAGGCGAGAAACTAGGTGACGCTGGCGCCGTTTTGCTCCTTGAACCCAGGCCTTCAGGAAGAAGAAGAAACAGAGGGACTCCAAGTCCCAGCAGGCTGGGGAGCGCAATAGCTGCAAAGCCAGAGGTTGGGAGTTCATCAATAGCTGCGAAGCCAGAGGTTGGGAGTTCAATCCTCCCCCCCCCAGCCCTCCTGGACTGGATGGCTCCCTCCCAGTTCCGCAGTTGTTAGATGACTCTTATCCAAGGATGATGGGTGTGGTAGTCCATGGCCTCTGGACAGCTCCCGGTTCCTTCCCCTAGTTTTTGTGCTTTCATGCCCACAGGGTGAGGACCGTTTCGTGGCACGGAGGTCAGTCCCGGCCACGTTGTGAAGTTAACATTGTTTTAGATCCTGAATGTCACTTTGGGGTCGCGTGGGCGAAACGAAGGTGCGTTTCTAAAGCGGTGTTAAATGAGTATGATGAAAGCTACTTTACTGGTTTCAAGAGTCACGTTCTCTAGTTTATTTCCGAAAGTTACCGGGAAAGGGCAGGGAGGCTTGATGTTCCATCCCGTTTTCTGATCCATCCTACATTAAAAAAATAAATCCAAAAATAACAAAAGTAAGGAGTGACACCTGTACTCGCACAAGTGACTTTCATTATCATAGTGAATAATGGGCCAAAAAAACCCCCCACCAAGCAAACCACAACCAATTTTCCCTGCTTGTTAGGAACATGGTGGTGTAGAATGGAACCTCCATGTTCAGTGGCAGTCTATCTGAGAGGAGCAATTGTGCTGGGACATGAGCGAGATGCTCCTGCTGGCCTTTGGTGAGAAAGCAATTCCTGGGTTAGATGATCCTTTTAATGGATCCAGCGGTACATTTTAAAAAAAAACGCCTGTGTTTCTTGTGCATAGTATTAAGTGGCGTTTAACACCCGGGGTGTAGCGGAAGGAAAGGTTTTTCCACCTCTGATTTAAAGTGTCTCGTTTCTCCTCGAACTGGGAAGAGACTTCTACTTGCACGTACTTAGGAAGAGTCCTCGAAGCCAAAGGAAATAAAATAAAATAAAATACCTCATTTTCAAAATGTGTGTTTATGATCATGTTTCCCCATAAATAAGACAAGGTCTTATATTAATTTTTGCTCCAAAAATGCAGTAGGGCTTATTTTCAGGGGATTTTTTTTCATGTACAACCAATTATATTTATTCCAATACAGTCCTGTCATCATCTTCTGGTTGCTGCACAAGGGTGGAGAGTTGGGGTTTCACTTAAGTAGGGCTTATTTGGGGGGGAGGGGAGGGTTTATATGACGAGCATCCTGAAAAATCCTACTAGGGCTTATTTTCGGGGAAAGAGAGTCATTACATTTATATTCCATCTTTCTGGTGAGGTCGAGGTCATACGCTTGGCTCTCTCTCATCCTCTGCATAAGAACGGGTCTCGCACTCGTAACCACTCTGTCTCGCCCTTTTTTTTTTAACAGAGGTGTGGGCGACGTTTTCCCTCAGCGACCTCCGCCGGCGCGAGGCAGGCCTTTTGGCTCGTGGACGTCCCTCGGCATTGAGCCGTCTCGACACCCGTGGCTTCATTGATCAAGTTTGGGTTATGGGATGTCGGCCTG